CCAAGTCTGTTTAAAATTTCATATTTAATAAAAAGTTCCATCATTATTATTTTTCATTCAATATGATAATAATACTTCAATTTTATATAAAATACTATTAATTATGAAATAAAAACTATCAAACGAATTTTTTTTTAAAAATTCAATTGAAAATAATTTTCCAGCTTTTGAAAAATTTTTTCAATCCAACATAGTAAAAATATTACTTTCATGAATTTACTCACAAAACTTGCATTTTTAGGGAATCAATTATGCTTCAATTTTCATTACTCTACAGTGCTCTATCAATTCACCAACCCATTTTACTTGGATTTTATTCTGATTTTTTTTCACTCTCAATTCGCAAAGTCTTTCATAATTTCTCTACTCCGTTGAATGCATTCGTTATATCTATTTGTCAACATTCATCCAATAGAAATGCATTATCCACAGCTGAGTAATTTTTTATAATGATGAAAACTAAACAAACGGTTTCTATTAACATTATTTTTTTTATCACATCAAATGGATTATAATTCTCTTCAAGCCTGTGTATTTTTTTAAACACAATAGTAAAAAAAAAAAAATCCCCAATGAATTTAATAATATGAAATAGCGAATACAATAATCCTAATTAATCTCAAGGCGTGAGTTTAAATACGTTGATTTTCATTCATATGATTAGATGTCCAAATATTTGATGCATATTCATGTTTATATCCATTTTCATTATTCTACCGACGAGTGATGATGAAATACCTACAAATATCTCTCACATTGCAACCACGTTATTTAATCATACATCAAGAACACACCACGTTCAAAAGTCATAAACTATACAGACTAATTAAACGTTAAAATGGCTGGCGAAAAAGTTGAACAATACATAATAAAACACGAGGAAATTTCGATTTGTTTTTGACATTATTATAGTTAATTATATTTTACGTTCTAGAGTGTTTCTGTCTTTTATTAGCACTCAACAGAAGAGAGGAGCCACAGCCAGAGGGGAGTACAGAACTCACAGAAGATTCAATTCGCGCTCTAATTAAACGTAGTGCATATGATCCTGGATTGGAATGTGAAGACCGAAGGTGGAGTGAGAAGCGAAGGGATGACATCGATTACTCGAGCAATTTGCTTGGGGATTGGCTGGTGTCATCGTCGCTTGCTCGTGTGTCTCTCTGGTTCTCAAGAGGTACCTAAGTTACATCATTGTAAGAATAGAGGTAGAGAATAGAGAGATAAAGACCAGGTCTTTGTGCCAAGAGGGTCGATGAGACTACAAGATCCCCTATCGTAAAATACTCTAACAGTACATGATGACTAAAGTGTCTTCCATATGCATATTTTCCTTCAATTTAGTCTTTGCTATAGGCATAGGAGTTCAATGAAAAATCCGAGTTATTCATTTTGTAAAGTAAATAAAGTTTTACTTATTCTGCTTCTGATTTAATTAAAACCATTTGAATGAGCTGCAGTGTAACTCTTGAAATGGTTATAAACCATTGGTCTGAAAAATTTTATGAAATATTTATTTCAGGTTGGAAATGGTAGGTATTCTTACTCGTGAATACTCGTAGTTGAATGCAAGATGGCCAGAATTTAGCAATTACTATGTTGCCTACTTATACTTGTTTAATTTTTTGATAAACCATCAATAGATCAATAGCCAATCTATCTACGCAGCTTGATGGTGTTGATGGTCTTGCTATCCAATGAACCTCATTAATTATTCAAAAAGCTTCTACTCACCAAGCCACGAGATTCATAACTAACTATTGAGATGTAAAACCCTCATAAAATGTTTTATTAGCCCATGGAAGGTTGACTATAAATTCAAGCGTATTAAAATAAATAACTAAACATCAATCAATTGTTGGATGCAATCAGATTCTAGAGCTGGTGTATCAACTTTAAAACATAACAAATCCTATTTATCTACATGAAAAATTTGACAATAGATTATCATGTTAGAAAATAATCTCTTTAGTGATAAATCTTTTCTACAACTGCTGCTAGGAGAAGGATTAAATGCATTGAATTTAATAATTCCCGAAAGACTCAACTCTAGTTATTCAAGTTTTCAAAGATAATAGGTAACATTCTATCAACTGGATCTCTTCTAATTCTAGCATGCACTCACATTGTCATGCTGATGATCTATGATGACTTTGAATCAGAGCATTAGCATATGCTGCAAAAAATGATATCAGAATAATTTATTGTTTCCTAAAGATACTGAATTTAGGGCAACCATTCTGCCTTTAGCTTATCCATGAACCCCCAAAAAAGTACAATTAATAGTGAATTCAATTTTTATTATTCATGATCTAGTCAGAACTAATCTACTCACTTTTTTATATATCGTCTGTCAGTTTTATCTTACTTATCCTCCTTCCACCTATTCATCCATCATCATCCACCATTCATCAATACTTTTTGGTGTATTTAAAAAAAAATATACTTCGAATATTTGAGTGTAGAATTATGACAATAAAAACTATTAAATCTCAGTAGATTTTAATGAATCTAAATTCAGCTAGTCAACATTCAAAGTGCGACAGACGAAAGAAGAATGATAAGATGGATTTAATAGCTGGTGCAATGGAGAGAAAGAGGGTCTTGGAGTCTTTTACGTCGCACTCGACGAAACAATAGTCGAAGCGGGTATAACGATAGAGCATGGGGAAAGAGGTGAAGAGTAGAAGCGTCGAGAGGACGTCAGAGTATAGGGGGAATAGACCCGTGGATTCCGTAGCCTCGGGTCGGGTTTTAACGACGTGCTCGGACGCAGTAGCTGCATCTCTCTGATACCTGGCTACCTCATTCTCTTTTTCTTCTTGCTTCTACGCCATTTCTTTCCTATTTTCCTTTCTACTCTATTTTTTCCAGCCTATTTCGATTTTTTTTCCTTTCCTGAATGTCTACTATTCCTTTTTCACTTTTTCTTGTATTTTTTTCCCCCATATGAGGACTATGATGTTTTTTCTATATACTTGCTGAGACGAAATCTCAACAAATCGATGAACCGACAAATTCTACTATAGTTTGTGTATTTTAGCAAAAAATAATATATTTCCGTGTAAGCGATGGTAAAAAGCTTCATAGAACATGCAATATACTTGACAATTTGAGTGCAGTTTTTTGTTTGAGAAATCTTGAAAATACTGAAAATATTCGTGGTAAATTACTGCGGTTATTAAAACTCTTGTATTCTACTCTTGGGATTGATTTTTAAAGTAGTCAAATTGGAATAATAGTTTTAAAAGTTTATTCCAATTTTCGTGTTACCCACATTCGTAGGTAAACGATTTATTCATAGTATCATCTACTTTTGATGAATAACAATCGAATGAATGATTTAATAAATATTTGTTTTGTTTATTTCTATAATCTTGATTAAAGTAATTAATCGCATCAATTTTTAAACGATAAATAACAGGTAGGTTTGGATGAATGAAATTATTTGTAAGTAATGAAGGAATTAATAGACATTTTTGATTCGAAAGGCTCATGGCAATATTTTTTGTTAATTATTTTGGAATAAAATTATTGGGGATTTAATCCTGTTGCGTAAAGTAATTGTGGTAAACTGCAGGGTATAATTAAAATTTCTTTACTTTAATTGTTGTGAAAGTTACTCGCTTCAGGGTAATTGCATGCTAAAAATTACCCTGCAGTTATACGCAATTTAGTATGATCTTAAATTATTCTTCATTGTAAAAAAATGTATAGTGAGAATTTTGAATAATTTATTCGATATTTTTAGTTGAGAAAAAATTGTTAAAGTTTAGATAAATTAAAATGAGATAAAAAAAGGAAAAAAAAAATATTAAATTTATTCCTAGAAATGAAACATTGATGAATTATTGAAAAAATTTCAATTCCAAATTTATATTTGTTGAGATTGTTAACAAAGTGAGTTTATTAACAATCCAAAAAGTAATTTTTCAAAATAAACAATAACAAAAAAAGAATATTTTACGTAAATTTCAATTAGTTGTGAAAATTTTTTTGTTTCTAACTAGCTTTTGTTCCAATTTAATTCGACGAACGACTTGACTGTTGATTGCTGGGAGTACATTTTTTTTGTGAAACAGTTTTGCGGGTAGTAACACGAAGGGCAAAACGAGAGATGGACTAGACTAGAGGAAAGAGAGTGGACGAGGAGTAATCATCCTCTTGAGTTTTACCAACTTGTACCTGAGCTCATAAAGTTCCGGAGCTTAACCCCTTCCAATTCTACTTTTTCTTCCTTCTCCTGGCAATCTTCCCCCGAGGAAATTACCAGCTTTACTAGAGCCACGATTATAGGCAAGTGCTAGTGACGGGAGATAAGAGAATTTTCGCGCGTCGTTTTGAGATATACTTTTCCATTTTAAGAGTAACTTTCAATATTCTCAACTGGGGAAAAAGCAATCGCGTTATTCTATATAAAACTCTATCAACATTTTTCCCTTGAGAATTTGTAATAGAGAAAACATATCTACAAAAACATCTTCAATCCAATGGAACATTTCAATCCCTCGTGATTTTTATTCAAAACGTCTGCAAAATAAATCTGTGTAAATCCGCAAACACTTAACGAATCCCATCTTTGTGGTATAGATTGAATGTTCTAAGCTTCCTTGTATCCACTTGCCACTGATCGGACAGAACTTTATGTACCCACATCAACTACTACCAGTTGTAATATATGCAAAGAAAAAAATATCAAGAGAATCAGAATCAAAAAAATATGTTATAGAAAAGTCGTTTTACAAACTTTTCGTGCAGACGTGTATCTTGTTCCTTTAAGTTCAGCTTCTTTCACACTTTCTTCCTTCATTCCCTACATTTTCTCCATTCTTGTCCTCTCTTATTCTCTCTAGTATCACCTGCCTACATTCTAGTAGTGATCTCCCACCCTTGCACCACCAAAGAGAAGTAAACTGTGAGGAATGATAGTGGGGTTGAGTTCAGCGACTGCGCGAACCAACTTGAGCTTTCGTAAATGCGAGCAGTCGTGACCGGTGGGCGCCGGGAGGCAATAGACATTCGCAAGGATACGCGCGCGAATTTCCCACTTGAAATAAACTATCTATTAAGTTTATACATTATTTTATTGCCAAGTAAATAAGACCGTTTTTTCAATTTTGTATTTTTCATCGTGGCTTGGGATTTAAGTTTTTTACGTGCGTGTTTACCAGAGATAAATCATCCAAAATCGTGAAAAAGCTACACACGAGTCTTTGAAAACGACCATCGTGCCAGCAACGACGACGTCTCATTTCACCGGCCTCGAGGATGCTCGTCGGCTATCTCATCATTGCCGGTAAGTTTATTTTTTGCTTCATCCAAGTGTTGTCAATCATCTAAAACTATTTTTTAATTAATAAAAAAAATCATAGTCACATTTTTTGTGATAAAATTTGGAAAGTTTGAGTGTTCTAGAATTATTTTTAGCTCAGTTGAGAAAAATATCCTTCTCTCACGCGACTATTAATATCGAATAAGCTTTCAACGAATTTTCGACGAGTTTAAGAAATGTCTTACAATGGAAAAACGTTGGTATACACAATGTTGAAAAATTGTAAATGACGTGAGAATGATAAATCTCGTTTCTCAGCATGAATCTTTTGGATGTGTAAAAAGAAGATCCACAATCGTGGTAGAGTTATATAGAATGACAAGAATATTCGCCTGTCTGTCACAGAAGTTCTGATTTAAGCTTTTCACGTTTCACGACGTTTTTTTTCTGCGAGCTCGGATGCACGGATAACGAACGCGGTATAAAAAAGCGGGACAAGCAGGAAAGTAGAAAGAAAACGAGAAAAGATGCGGGAGAAAAGGGGGAATGAGAGTAGTATGAGTGGAGAGAAAATTATAAAAATGTCCATGGTATTTTGTTGTGAGGCCATTAACACTTTCATTCTTCATACTTGGATATATAAAAGTGCAAAAATGAAGTTTATAAGAATTGGAAACAAACAAAAAAAAGACATCAATCACATTATAACATGATGAATTGATAAACTCTACTAATTTATAATCTCACAGTAGAATTCGTCGAATATTCTCTGCATTTCGATTAGTCGAGTATCATCAGTCGAACCGGAGGATATTGGAATTTACTGACAATCCGAGTAGACACACGACAGATGACGTATCATTTGAATAAGCGGATTATCTTGCATTAATAATCACATTTATTAACTTTAACAATTAACTCGACATTTTTAGAAATTATTTTTTAACGACTGACATCATAAAAACATTCCCCATCCCAATCTACTTTTGTTGATAAAATTAATTTCTTTCATTTTACTGCCGGTCAAGATTTTAATTACGTATCATTAAATAAAGTAGATGTGCCTGAATGACATTCCAGTATATTCCCTTTGGAAATTGTACGAACACCTCGAAACGACGTCGTTTCCCGCGATCATTCGACTCCGTTTTCTCCCCCATTTTATTGTCGACCTATAAAATTCTTCTCACCCAACGTCCACACGTTTGAACAATATTATTCCATACATATGTGCTATTTTTATAACAGATAACAAATCATAGAATAATTAAATTTGCACTTAGTTTGAATTTTTTTCCTTGATGTCTTGACAGAAAATTTATTCATCCTTTTTTTTGTTTTTATTCATTGTTCTTGTTTTAATGTGTGAGAAAATGTACGGCTATGATATTCTCTGTGAAAGTCATTGGAGTAATTAAAATGCGCTAGGATTATTGTCTGGAGAGAAAACAAATGAAGTTTATACCAATCAATCACGAGTATTTTAGCAAGTAGTTTGCTTGGAAGTGTTTAACTAGATTTTTTTATTGAATCCATTAGCTAATGGCAATTTTTATGTGAAGATAAAAATATTTTGTTCGTTTAAACTTTTAACAAGCATAAAAATTTATTAGAAATAGTTTAATAAAATATTTATTAGTCTAAATAAATTAAATCGAATATAAAAAAGTGATTTTTTTAATGTTGAAAACAGAAATAAAATAATTATAGAAAAATATTTTTATTGATGATTACTCATTAAAAATGTTGTTTGAATAATAAAGAAAACTTGACTTAAAAGATCTTCAAAAACGAATACATACACCTAGATTGAATTGAACTCTACAGGATATTTCTATAATCTACTTAGACATTTTTGCGAATCCAACAGAGGAAACTGGATCTCCGTAGATCTCACTTAACGTGCCTACATGAATATAACAAGATCAACAAACAGATCTGGATGAAACTGGGGCAAGATATCTTCTCCCAGAGGACCTCGAGAATAAAATGGCTTTCTTTAGAAAATTGCAAAAATTTTTCAACAATTCATATCAAAATTCTCCAACTAATTCTTTTTTAAAACGAGTTATTCTTTTCTTGATCTTTAAATCTTAAAATATATCATGACGGACATTTTGTAGAAAATCCATGATAATTAATAATTCAACGATTAATTACGTAAATGTCTCGGATTTCAATTGTACAAATCCTTTTGTTTGCAACTGTTTAGATCAATCATTAGAGGCATTGAAGGATTATGACACAGTTATTCAAATGAAATGACTGAGATTAAGATGAATATTGATCATTTAAATTATTATAATGTTTTTAAAATTTATTTACAAGCAATTAAATCAATAAATATTTTTATCTGATCAACTTTTAATATTTTTACTTCACGAGTAATTTTTTTTTTCTCTGGCTTTTCCTATGTATTAATAACTACAGTACATATAATGGCTGTAGAACAAACACTCGGTGGTTGTTTCAGTCAGTACCTTCCATGTAAACAACGAGAAGAATTGAAGTAAGAGTTTACCTGGAACGAATGTTTGGGTGTATGGAATGTAAGTTTGCTCAATTGTTATCTCGAGTGTTGAGTCAAGAAATAAAAGCATTCGAAAGGTTGAACTTAAAAACTCTAGTAGACTGTATTACTCAAATACATTTTGTAAAATTCTTTTGCAATACTTGGCATATAGATTATTCTGTCTTCAGTATAAATGCAAGTCTCTTGAAGATTTCTTCTCGAGGACGTCCTCCAAGAGTTCACTAATTGCGGACATTGCTAAGGCCTCGGCGACCACTAGACAGAAACTCTGAAATCTCTTTAATCTCAGCAGGAGGGTTAACGACTTCCTGCGGCGATGAGAATATAAGGATGACTTGCGGGGGATGAACTAAGATGGTGGAAAAAGTCTTCTCTCCGTGACAAAAAATCTATAGATAAAACGAAGAATAAAGACGCGTCTGTGGTCGAGTTTTATTTATAGCATACAAACGTGTAATAACTGTAGAAATAATTATTAAAATTTCATGAATGGACATGGAAATAATCTTTACTTGTTTTTATTACATTCTCGTTTGATGTTTTTAATGAAAATATATTTTTTTCTGTTTTATTTATTATTTACTAAAGAAAAAGAAATTTTATTCAATATCGAAATTCGATTGAAATGAAACATTTATTGTTTATAAATAAATAAAATTGCTTTTTTTGACGATTTCTATAGAGATAATCGTTCTTTGATGTGCATATGAATGAAAAAAAAAGAATTTTACTGCGCTAAAAATTTTTTCTTTTGATCATAAATATTTTGTTCTGATGGATAAAGACTTAAAAGTAAAAATATCTGTAAATACAGATGAAAGATTGGAGGAAAATAAAGACAAATGCAAAGTATACTTCAATAGCTTTATAAGTTAACCAACTTTTGAAATTAAAACTTATCTGTCTTAAGTAAGTAATTAATAATTTTAATAACCCCAGCAATTTTTTTCCTTCGGCAGTCTGTTGACTTAACTTGAAGCAAGGGAACTTTCTTTTTCTCTCTTTCAACGATCTTGAATATCAGAGTTTGTAAGGGTTATAGTAAAAGCATTAAAAAATAAGAGGAAATCATGATTCTAATAGAGAAAGAATTTAAAGAAGGTTTTTTTAATACTAGAGACTCCAATAACGGCTTTGAAGGTGCTTTTAAAAAATTTTCTGGAACTATATCTTTGAATTTATATTCTCGACTTTTATTTCGCATCATTTCCTAATTTTCTTAATTCTTTCTTTCTATCCTTCTTGCTCGTTAACCGAAACTGCCTTCATCGATCTTTCTCAGACGACCCAGCACCCTGCTAATGGAATATTTTAATGACTAAACGGATTTTTAATTACGCCTTTTCATGGCAACGTGCGAAATTAAGGATAAGTAGATAAAACTACATTGTTTCGGCATCCTCAACGACACAACGTCTTGTATTTTGTTACACTTACAATTTATGTTACCCAATAAAAGTAACTGATTTTATTGAAAAAACAAATTTTACAAGTGGAAAAAATTTTTTTAATTATATTTTTCAATTTAACGAAGCAATGCGCATCAAAAAAAAAAACAATTTATCAAGGTGCATGGATGGAAAAATCATATTTAATTCAAATTTTTTTCTCTGTCATTTATGCGAAAAAAATTCTCATAAAAGAGTTTTTGATTGAATTTTGTTATAAAAATAAAAAAGCTTAACATTTACGTTATTATTTGATAACTGTTTCATCCATTCTTTAGTAATTAGTAGACAATAATATAAATGGATTAATTAAATTACTCTTTTCAATGCTAAAAACAATTAGCTATCCCATAAAAGCCCATTGGTAACTACGGAAAAAGAGAATAAAGTACTCTTGCGATCAATGAATTACGTAATCCATTCGAGAGTGCTTAGAGTACCTCGAACTCATGTATCCTACAGATATACAACATGGTCACTGAGAGGACGTAAAATTAAAAAAGAAAAATGTAATTAATTATCGTACTGATAGCTTGCTGGCAAGTTTGCTTTCAAGAGTCATGTTGAAAAATACTCGACTAGAAAATTTGTTTTCGTGAGAAAGGTGTAGGAAACAAGAGTTCAGAATACTGAGCGATGAACACATACTCAACAAACAAAAATTTAAAAGCTAGTGAAATTGAGTTTGGTCCGGAATTTTTCCTATAATCGATTATATTTAAGCTCAAGTGTTTCCATTTTATTTTTGCATTATTAAACCATGAGGCTGACGAAATCTAATGCTTTTACGATGGAGTAAAAATTGCAGTTGATCGAAGATCTCCCCTGGATAATGCATGTTTATTTAATGAGACAAACAAAAACATCATTATAAATGAAGCAAATTTAATTAGATGAAATTCCATTAAATATGAATTTTAGAGCTAAACAGTCGAAAAGTCGTAATAATGTTATATTATCCTATAAGCCACTTGATGTCGTAAATTTTTTAGAGATAATGAAGGTTAAAGACTGAGGCTAAAAGTTTTGGAGAAAGGTGAAGC